GGAAAACTTTTCCCGCAGTGCACCGTTCGCACACTTCACTTGACTTTACTTGGCTGGCTAAAAATGACTGGGATGACTGCGATGGCAGGCAGGCAGGTCCCATTAACAATTTTGGGGCTGGCTAGGATCTGTCTGCTGCTTAAGTGCGTCTCGGAGTGAGCTGAGTTTGACAGCTTTTGTTAGCATGATTTTTGGCTTTTGGCGCGGCCTTAACTTCAGCCAATGCAGCTACAGCTTCAGCTTTAGCTTCAGATCCAACTTCAGTTTCAGTTTAAGATCCAGCTTCAAATCCTTCTCCAATCTGACTTATGATGCGATGCCCAAGTTGGGCGGAGAACTTTAATTGAAATTTCGCCGGCAATGGAGCCTGGCGACAAGTTGATTTTCCACTTGGCCAGCAGCTATTGGAGCAGCGAAACGAATTGGACATTAAACGCTACCGTTGGCCAAATTGCAAACAGCCAACAGGCAGTGCGATTGGCGTTAACAAGCGCATTAGATTTGCCGTGAATCTCGGGAATCCAAAGAGCTGCAAAGATCCAAGTTACCAGTTACCAGTCACCAGTCACCAGTTACCAGTCAGTCAGTCAGTGGCCAATTTGGCAAGGCTGTTTGGGGAATTGCTTGGAGCTGGACCTCTTCACCAACTGCCAAGGCAATTTGCTTGCTGTTTGTCAAGAACGTGGCCAAGTTGGATGTGTGTATTGGGAGTGTGCTGGCCCGGCCCAGGAAGCACTCTCCAATCTGTTGACTGCTTCTGATATTTTTTTGTAACCAGAAACAGAAACTGAACCAAAACCAAAACCCAAACCAAAAACCAGACCATACCAGACCAGCCGCAAACAGCAACAAAGTAGCTGCCGCCGTGCAAATAAAAACTGCGCTTCAACACGCACATATCCACAACCCACCTCCTGCCAGAAGAAGTCTGTTTGTAGTTTGCAAATTGTAACTAGATACAATTTGTAGCGTGGCTTTGTTTGCTGCCCGCTGACTTATTGCAGGAAGGAAAGCAGCGCAGAAAGATGGAAAGATGCTAGAGGAACGAGCAGGCAGGTTGACCTAAGGAATCCGACGATTAAAGACCCTTTCTGGCTAAAATAAATGTTATATCTGACATATTGGATACCACTCAAGAGATCGTCTCAAAACATAAAATATAACCATAGGATAATTCAAATGAACTGGAATTTTGATTAGGCAGGAATATTTCAATTGAATGATCTTTCGAAAATAAAAAAAATGTTATTTAATTAAATACAATCAGTAAATAACAACTTTAAAATGCTTAATTTTTTTTTGTATTTACCTAACTTGTACTGTTTAACTATATTCTTAAATTTTCCCTATTTATTTATTTCCCCTACTAAAAATACACCTTATAACGCAGTAACGCAAAACACAGAAAAGTGTTTGATTATGCTTTGTGGCAAGCTGCTAATACAAATGGTAATACCTTCGGAAAGGGTATGAAAAGCGCTGCCGGCAACTCGATGCAGACGGTCGCAATTGTTGGTTGCACCCAAAGTAAAGTGCGTACTCGTATGTCTGGTTTTGGCCGTGGTTCTGGTTGCAGTTGCAGTTGCTCTTGCTCTTGCTGTTGGTGTTGCACTTGGTTTTACTCTTGTAGTGGAAACCATGAACCAAGTGCTCCTCCTTCCCCAACTTTTCGCAGTGATTTGTTGCATTTCTAATGCGACTGCTTCGCTGTGTGCCCGCTGCACTTGTCGGCCCATGATATGTTTGCGTTTGCATTTTGGCCCACAACCCACACCCATTTCCCTCCTCCTTTCCATTGGCCAATTTTTATTCTCGCCAAGGGAACTCACTTACGCTGGGATTTCAATTTCGAGCGGAAAGCAGCCGAGGTTTCAATTGCCCCAGGGGCAGAGTAGCAGAACAGCAGAGCAGCAGAACAAGAAGGGCGAAAACCAGGAACCACCGATGTCTATCTGCCTGTTAGTGGTAAACTGGCCGCGGGCTATCAAAAATAGCGTTAGAAAATACATACACGATATGCCTTCTTAAAGGCTACGCAGAAAATCGGCTAATCGTGCAGGAACTCTGGTTAAATGGTTAGAACTTAATGATGAAAGCTTAGATACAGTAAAAACTATCTTTATCATATAATTTGTAAATGCTAAAAAAATGTACATGACCTAAATCATGTGGGATCAAAAAATTAATGACCTTTTGCTTGGGTCTTAGAAGCATTTTTAAAAATTTCAGCATTTAATAACTACTTAGCTAGAACGTATTAGAAATATATTTAATTCAAATTTAGCTGTGAAACTTTGTATGTAATACCCCATTTCTTTCTGTGTAGGAATGGAGAGAGTGTCAATTCTGATTTTACATCCACTTAAAGTGTCATCAGCACAGAAAGATTTAAGCACGCTGATCAATCCAATCAAATCCCTAATAGATGCAAATTAACGACAAATCATTTGCAGATTGCTTGCAGATAAAATACTTATAGCAGCGCTCCGGGGAATATTATAGTAATATGGTAGTGTGCCCCTCAATTAGCTTCAACTGACTGCCATCCAATTTACAATTCAATTAACTTTCCAGCAAGAGCTGTCAACACAATGCCATTCCATCTACCGACAAGTAAAACGCTCGCTTCATTAGCAAATTCTCCCGAAATTGCATTGACCTGGTAAAAAGTGCTGGAAAAGCTGGAGTTTACCCAGTGAAGATGGAGATTACTCCAAAATCGCAGCAGAGGATGCAGCCCAGCCCAGTGGCACTTTATAGCAATCAATTGCAACCGAGACTGAGTCTGAAACCGAGACTGGGACTGAGACTGAGACTGAGACACCCCCAAAACGACACACCCCCTCGAGAAGTCGGGTGAAAGCTTTTGCACTGCTGGCATTAACTCTGGATTACTTAAATGCTTTTTAATTGAAATTTTTCCTAATTTCACTTTGGGGGATCAAGTGCAACCAGCATACTAAGGCTACGCAAACAGAGAGACACTGGGAGACCAGACGGCTGCACTTCTCAAAAATCGTAGTTAGTTATTGTTAAAATCTTCTTATTAATACCTTTTGAGAGAAAATGTGCAAGACCGTTGTCTATCAGAAACATATAAATTGATAAATAACTAAGCAAATAAATAAAGAAGGTTCAATATTTGTTTCTTAAGTTAATGAAATGTCTAAATAATTTTCAATTATGATAAAGATAATTTCTGCTCTACTGGGCTTAAGCCATTACGCCAGACTGTAAATATATCTTGCTATGATTTTCATGCATTCCAGTTTTAAAATATTTTGAGTATGTATTACAATTTTTTAAATATTTAATTTGTATTAAATATAATTTTGAATTATATTTAAATATCTGAATGTTAAATATAAATTGGTTTAAAATTAAAACCCTATTAAACTAAGATTTTTAATCAAATATAACCCATTTTAAATTTAAATGAAATATTAAATATTACGATTTTGGATTCACTGTTTAATTTTTGTATCAGTGTGGGCAGGAATCTCCTCCGAACAGCACGCTCTGGCGCCTTGCTACCCCAATTTGGAATGGGAATGGGTATGAGTACAGCCATGAGGATGGGTGTGGGTGGCGGTTAAGACCAGAGAAAGGGGAAGTTTTTGCTTGTCTAGCCGGCAACATGGAGCGCAAAAAGTGAAAGCCATAAAAACTATACAGTAGCGCCAGTAGCCAACGGAGGCAGCAGCAGCAGAAGCACCAGAAGCAGCACATCATCAATTTCAATGCCGCGCGAGAGTCGCCAACTGGCGGAGAAGAGTTTTTCCTCCTTTCCGCCGTTCTCGTTTTCCGTTTTTCCTCCTTTTTTCCCTCGATTGCTGCTGCTCTGCTGTTTTCTGCCTCGTTTTTCATGACATTGTTGGCTCTCGGCTTTGGCTGGATATCTGTGTCTCCGTCTGGGCCTGCACTCAGGAAAAACCACCGAAAATCTTCTTGGCCAGGGGAGCTCCAAACTGGAAAACCACTTTCAGTGCGCAAAACCACACGGTTTTCTTTCTAATATAAAATTAAAAAAAAAATAAAAGATAAAAGGAACAAGGATTTAATACCAATATACATTTATGTTTTAAGACTTCCTAAATGCTTATTATCGTATTAAACAAAATCTAGTAAATTAAGTTTTAAACTGTCCAATTAACCAAAATATTTTTTATATAAGAAAGTTCCTAACAACAACGTTATTTCATTTTGCCTAAATTAGTAGAAATTATTTGATTGACATGTTGTGCATCAAATTAATATTCAATTCATTTATTTTTCACAAAAGACATTTCCAAAATAAAGAAAGGCGGGTCAATATTTTCGCGAGTGCTGTTGAGTGACTACCGAGACGCTTGAATTTGAGCTGCAAATCCTTAGTAAAAGCATTTAGCACTGCACTGCATTAAGGCGCAAAGCACTTTCTTGCCAACTTTCCGAGTTGCGAGTGTTGAAGTTGCTGTTGCTGGCTCACGAGAATGGTGTTTGCTGTGCGACTTTGGATTTCAATTTATCGCCTGCTGATATTTGCCCATTCCATATGGCACATGGCACATTGCACATGGCACATGGCACTCACTCCACAAATATGCGAAACGGTAATTTGCAGCTCCACTGGCAGTTCATCACAGAGGCTCAAAAGCACAGAATGGGAGCAGATGGATATGGAGATGGACAGGGACTGGGATTGGGGATTCTCAGATTGAGCTTCTTTTTAGCACACACTTGCCAAGTGAAACGGCTCTGCGGCTGGCTGACTAACCGAAAGAAAACCGAGTGCCGTCATTAGCTTATCGCCTCGGTCATGGTCCCATCTAGATGCGAATGCAAAAGCGAGTGCCAAGGCCCAAAAATCCGCAGTTCAGGGCCCCCAAAAGTGCAACGACACTTGCAGCGGCGAACGGTGCCTTTTGTTTGCCCATTCGTCCGTTGCCCGTTCGCCGGTCGCCAGTCGCCGTTCGCCGGCTTCAATTTCTCGCATCAGTTGTAATCCAAACTGCGGTAGTGATGTAGTGCTGTAGTGCCCCTCTTTCCACGAAATTTGCCGGCAACTTGAAATTAACATGTTGCCGCGCTTCTTCCGCCGCTGCAGCGATTTAGGATTTGAGAACCGTTCTTCTCTGGTTCGTTTAAGCACACTTGTGCCCGTGCCCGTGGCTGTGCCCTGCCCAATTCCGTTTAATTAGCATGGTCCAAGTGGCGGCCAAAGCTGCTCGAGCACGATGTGCCCGATGATGGCTTCTCTGGGCATTATTCTGGCCTCTGGCTACTGGCTACTAACTGCTGGCTGCTGTAGAACGGACTTCACGGCTTCCGTTGGCTGCGCACGCGCAATTAGCCAAAGCAAACGCCGATCCAGGTACTTGACCGATAGCCGATATGCCTCCTTACCTCCCCACACTTAGCTAACCTCAGAAATTAGCCATAAAAATGGACTTTATTTAAATAAAGAAAAAGGCGATTTTTCATCTCAACTACTTTAAGACTAATTTTATTGAATGTTAATTCAAACTTATTACACAAAAATATCTACTAACCTCCCCACTATTTAAATCGACTTTACTTACATGATAAAGAATATAAGTATAAACAATAAACTTAATATAATATTTTAAATTAACTGCGCGAGTATGTACAAATTAATTAAACAGAAATACATGCTACATATAAGCAAATCTCTTGATTTAATATTCACCACACAACTTTGTCATTAGAAAACTAAGAACCAATTGATTTTTCAACTTAAAACAGTCTTTATTTTTAGACATTATCAATCTAAAAAATTAAAATAATCTTTTAACAATCAAAGATACATAAGGTTGATTTAAAAGGAAACATAAATGTTTCTGCACTAATTAAAACAATTTTCAATAATCTAAAATTTAAGTTGCAAATAATGTTTTAGAAAATAAAGGAAAAGTTAAATTGAAGTAAATGGCTTGGTTTTGGCTTAAAGCACAAATGTTCCTACGTTTCTTTTAAGTTCCTTTTAAGATATCTGAGTTTATTAATTTTATATTCATTATATAACATGTTTTCTTTATTTTTCTCTTTTATTTATCAGAAATTCATGCTGCGCTGCTCTTGGAGACAAAAGTATGGAATGTATCTCAGGGGCTAATACTTTTATGAGTGCACCGCACCGCTCCGCACCGCCTAATGAACAGCCAAAGCCAGGGTCCAAGTTTTGGACAGGAACGCAATCTGCAGAGGTACTGAATGCAAATGGAAATTCCTGGAGGCATTCGATCGCATTACCACAAATCCGCCCAGAGCCGTGGAACCAGTTGGAAGCCCAATAAAACCGCCTCGGATTGCAATGGCCCATCGACAGGCGCTATATATAGAAGATGCCAACTAAAAATAGCCGCGTCTTAAATGATTTTTGCTCATTAGAGCGTGCGTGTTGCTATATAGCCATGTTGCTATGTTGCTATATTGCAGAGGGACACCAAACAAAAAGTGAAAAAGTGACAGGAACCAAGAACTAAAACAAAAGCCGAGCCTGTTGCAACTGCAACTTGCAGTCGGGTCCACATTTTCTACATGACGCTGCGAATGCCAGGGAACATAATAAAATCATGTAATGGACTGCGCATGAAAAACAATGCAAAAAGCGTTGACAACATGACCATATTTCCCCCATCCCATCCCGTTCCACTGAGGGGTGTGTGTGTATCTGTTTTGTTACTATTTTGCAGAATAATGTAATAAAAATAGCATGCCAAGCATTGGCCAGCTAGCCATCCAGTTACACTGGGAACATAAGGCTGAGCTTATTACGATTAATGATTGTGAAGAACGCACATTTTATTATGTCAATTTGTAAATTTAAACTGTTAGAAATTATTTTCTAAGAATGTTTACTTCATAAAGTTGAAATAAATAATTTGTTTTTCCATTTACAAAACTGAAAAGAATTAAAATAGTTTTATTAAAGGTGGAGAACAAATTATAGAGGCTGTAAAAAAAGGTTTGATATATTTAAGAAAATAAATTGAATATTAAATTTTTGTGATTATTTTCTGAGAGTGTCGCCAGGCAGCCAGCCATGATGACGATCATGCCGATCGATAGCCGGCAGACGAAGATGGAACAACAAAAGACTTTGGACACAAACTCACGCAGCCAACTGGGAACTGACTGGCAACTAGAAACTGGCCACTGGCAACTTCAACTAGCAGCAACTGGAATGCCAAGTATCGTGTGTTGAATGCATGCCAAGCATAGTCTGCCCCGCCCTTTGCACCTTTTGGCCCCTTTGTTTTGGCCATCCTGGGAGTAAGTACCAAGTTGGTAGTACCAAGTTGGCCGCCTTTAGGGTCTGGCCGGCAGCATTGAAAACGAAAACTGTTGTGTGTTGTTTGTTGTGTGTTGTGTGTTGTGCGACATGAGCACGACAAAGCTGCAGCCCATGGCCTCGACTTTGGCCAACAGTTCGGGATTGGGATGTGGAATAAATAGGATGTGGGCTATGGGGTAGGGCAGCCTAATGGCCAGAGAGCTGGCCCTTCGATACGGATACCCAGATACACGCGCCAGATACAGATACTCTTGTACATCCAATGGCTTCTAGCCATTGCCGACCAGCCAGCCCTGTTCTGTTCTGTTGTTGGTTTATGAGTTGCCCACTGCCTAAGTGACACAAAACGGCGGCTAAATGATGTGCAGATAGTTGGCGAGTTCTATAAATAAACAGATGTCGAGTCACTCCCGACCAGACGGCTAATTAAAATGAAAGTTTTACCTTTACCTGAGATTTATTTCGTGTTTGCTGGAATGGACAAGAACTGGCCATAAAGAATATTATAATTTAAGATATAGATAAGAGGATCCCATGAGATTCATGATATTACAGGTCACTAAAGGTAAATTGCCGATGAAAAAAACCCCTGCTATTTAAATGTCGATGACTATGAGATGTGATAGATTGACAGACAAAATCTTAATTTAAAAAATCTTGTTGTAACTTGAAAAATCAAAAATGAATTTATAGCTGACAGTTAAAGTTACTAAATCGGTATTCTTACTTAAAACCTCTGTCTGTTAAATAATTACCAGAATTTCAGTTCTAAGATCAACTGGATTAACAGTTTCAGTTACATAATAAAGGTAAAACTAAAAAGAAATGTATTTTGTATTAATATATTTGCTGGCCCAGTCATGCTAATAATGACCCATCCGATAAGCCCGAACAATAATCATTTCCTTACTTGACTGGACCAGTGATCCCCCAGAAATGCGCATTATTTTGATCAGCGTCACAGAAAAGTAACCCTAGAAGCAAATGGCATGAAAAACCCGTGAGTAATACCGAGACTAAGGCCAAGAACCCAGCCATTAGTCATCATCAGGTCGATCGGGGCCGTAATCGGAGTGGATCGGAATGGAGAACCCGAGAAGGTTCTTTCTGGCCGCATCTTGCTTTTATAAGCTTTTATTTGCTTTTCTTTTTGCAACGCACCCTGCGAGAGTGGAGTGTCCGACATTTATCTTGATTATAGTATTGCCTGCAGACGCCGCATTTTGCGGGCCAATGTTCTGAATGCGACATTATTTATGCTTTTATGCTGCTGCTGTTTTAAGTCGGGGAGAAAGTGTGATTCACCTCATTGATACGGGGCACGACCCGAAGTTTTCTTGGGTCAGAAGAGTTCATCATGTGTGTCTGTGTCTGAATCTGTATCTGTGCGATATTTTAGCGCATTCGCAGCATGTATAGCAAATGCCAATTTAGAAAGTAAAAACAAATGATTAACCAAAATGGCGCAGCATTACTTTCATTCACTTTTCGTGGCTTTATAACTGTAATAAAGCGGCGAACTACGACTACCTGACTGAAAGCCAAAAAGCCAAAAGCCAAAAAGCCGAAAAAAAGCGACACGGGTTCAAGGTTTTGCGAGCAGATGGCATAAAAGATTCTTGCGCCATTTCAGCCATTCTTCTGCTTGGGCATTCTTTTTATTCCCTGCTGCCTGCTGATCGTTCTTCATTTTATTATTTTTGTCCCAACTAAAAAGGCAAGTTCAATGCACCCCCAGTCCCCAGTTCAGATGGTCAGATGCTCAGAAGTTCAGAAGTGGAGGGATCCAAGAAACTCTTCTCACGCAATGGGCGCAGCTTTTTGGGCTTTATTTTTGTAAGTTTACCATACACAAAACCTCCGCACCAGCTCATCATTAACAAGAGAGGTTCTGATAAATGATTAATGGACCTCGTCTAGGGTTACGACATAAACAAATAAGACGACGGATATGGGATGGCATCCATCGTGAAACTTTCTCCGATTTACGATTTACTTTCTGTTTCGCTCTCTTGTAAGCTGCCGACTTAATTTTAGAATCTGAAGGTTGTAGGTTTTTGGCACTGCATTTTGCGACTTCACTTTCGCTGCATTAAAAACTTTACGAACCGGTGCCATCAAAACCGAACCAATTTCTCAGTTTTAAGCTATGCATATGCAAATGACTTTCACTTCACTTTCGTTCATTAGTGTTGGGGTTCCTTCATTCTTATTCTAATAAGCCGCGAAAGGCAATTGGTGAAAGGTGATGGTAAATGGTAGATGTCTGATGGATAGCTACCACTCCTCCTCTTTTTTTTTTAACTCCGAGGGAGATTCTTTGGCAAGTGCGCAATTATTATTCAAATTGAGGAACGAACAAAACTTGTTTGGCCCCACAATTAATTTGAAATAATAAACCAAATGCCGCATAATGTTTATTACGCCGCTCGTTTGGCTTGCAATTTGCATAACATCCAAATTAAAAAATGGATCCTCAAGAAACTCCTTCATGCAATTAAATGCTGACGTTGTTTGCAAAGTCTATGGTATCTATGAATGCTGCTCATTTTGGCCCCCGAGCAATGCTTTCAATCAATGCCAAAATTTGCCATTTGATTTCACTTGATTGATGTGCAAACATGGGACTTGGTCGGCCCCGGCCAAAAGCCAAAGCCAAAGAAGAAGGAAGCGAATATGTGGCTATCCTGCTAATTAGCTGACTGCAGCGAAAGCCATCCTCTGAATTGGCAGCTGCGTGCTAAAATTGACACCTTTATGCAGCGCTGGCCACGCAGCTCATCAAAGTCAAAGCCAGAGGAACAGTGACTTGGCAGATTCTGAACTTGCCGCGGAAATACGTGGAAAACACGGCCTTTGGCCAGCAAACCAGCTGCTAGCTATCTAGCCAGCCACTTGCTGCAACAACTGGCCAACAATCGCCGTCGTTTGTGGTCGGTTCTAATCGATTTCTCCAACAAACACAGGGCGGGAACAAATAAGCGACTCAAACAGCAACTGCAATAGCAATAGCAACAGCAATAGCAACAGCAACAGCAACTGCAACACCAACAGCAACAAGTGTTGCTACGGGAAAATTCTTCAATTTATACGATCTTTTTTACAGCTTTCCAGTGGGTGCAGCCAAAGATGCGTTTTTCGTTCGTCTTTTATTAATCATTTGTTCTAGGAATTTACTGCATTTTTATTGAGGCTAAACCAAAGGCTGTGACTCTGACTCTGTGACTCTGACTCTGTCTCTGACTCCGACTTTAACTTGCTTCTCTCTGTGGGCCATGTGCTAAACTCATCGGCAAACAGGTTGCCTCCACCCCGTTCCTGTGGTTTTTGTTTGCCAAATTCAAACAACAACAAGGTGGCACATACTAAGCAGAGAGTAGGTCGACTATGTAATACCCTAACCCAGCTAGGAGTTGTCTAAAAAAATCTAAGCAACGTTATGAACCTAAAACCATTTGTTTTGAAACCAATATGATTAAATGCATATAGATTATAATAAACAAAAAGTGCTGCTACCTTGCTAAAGTATCTATAAGTACAAAAAAAATGCACAAAAATTATATTATTTTACAGAATTTCAGATATAACATTTGGATACAAGATTGCTTTTGAATCATCTGTTAACTTATTAAGGCTATGAATTATTATCAATTCTTGACATTCTATCTTAAATTAATTAAACACAGATTTAATTCTAGCTCTTTAGTTAAGATCGTTTTTAAATTAAATTTTTAGTTTGCTGTTCTTAGACTAGACTAGAAAACCCCTGCATACCCTTAATATATTTGTAACCAACTAAAATGATGTGGAAGAACAACCTTTGACAGAGTGTTAAGAGTTGTCCATCTTTACGGCTTCTCGCCCATCGGTGCAGCTGTTTGCGCTGCAATTTGGGTCATTTGAATCATATGCATAAAGTTCCCGTCGTCAGCTTCCCACAATTGAATTTGCTATACGATTTCGAACATATTCAATGATTCGGCTCAAAATCGAGAGAAAGGTAAGGTTCTATTAACCATAAACCATCAGCATAAACAGGAAATAGAGACCATATATCAAAATGGCCGCAGTAACAAATTCGCAGCTTGTTGCTGTCAGCGCTTCTCCACTATCAGCTTGCAGCGAAATGCGATTCTACAATTCGCCAATTCTCCGGTTCTCAGCAGCTCAGCTTCTCAGCTTCTCAGCTTCTTGGTTATCAGATACGCCAAGCCGGCCAAAGAGATGTTTCTAATTTATGTGCAACAACAGCGTTACATCTTATCAACAACTAAATGACACAGCCGCTTAAGTTACAAGCACGCAAAAAAGCAAACGCAACTCTTGGATGGTGAGGCCCAAAGCAAAACCGAAAACCCAATCTGGTCTAGGAAGTGGACTTGATGACATTGACACTGAGGCCTTCAATTGTAATTCTGGCGCTCGCATATCGAATGCGGCAAATGGCAACTGAGAAACTGAAAAACTGAGCAACTGAGCCGGTAAGACAAGTTTCG